GAGGAAGCCGCACGCACGCTAATTGCTAAATTCGCCCGGACCGCCGCCCGGCCTCCACCGCCTCACCCCCACTCCTCTAACCCCCCTAAGCCTCAGCCCCGTCTGGACGCGTTCATTGTCCCTGCTAATGAAATTGTACTCTGACATCTAGATAATTAGTAAATCTTTGGAGCTGGTGGCGCTTTGGATTTATTCAGTTGTAAATATCGACGTCTCCCGAGGTGCTTCATAGCTGTTTTCTACTGTCTGAGTTACTAACACGATACTGTTTGAGAAAAAGACACAAAATGGGTTTTTATTAGGATATTTTTTATATTAAATCAATTAACAAAATAATATAGCACAACAGTATTACGAAATTCAACAAATTCTTAGGCACCTCTTGGTTTCAGCTCTGTTTTGATAACATAAAGGCTGATGAAGAAGTAAGTAGTTAAGCAATATTGTCAAAGAAGTCTCATTTGGACTTAAGACCTAAGTTTAATCGTTAAACATAACTTAATTCAAATAATGTGATGGTCAGAATGGCCTACGGTGCATCTGTGCGGACAATCCGATTTTCCGATCATTAGGCGCACAGCCCTTTACTGGGTATTGTACCAACGGATAATAAAGCTAATATGGATTTGGGACCATATACAAGAGTATAGAAGTAGCTTTAACGCTGTGTTCTCATTTCAATTTAACGTGGGGAATTAGTTCTAAACATTTAACGGAACGTTTACTAACCATTTACTTATTACAACCTATTATGATTTGTGTCGTTCGTTGAAATTCAGGAATAAAGTATTTTAAGTTGACTTGAATCGTGGAGACTATACAGATACTGCCTTGGGCAGCTTGATACCACCGCCCATGGACACTCTATGCCAGAGGGCTCGCGAGTGCGTTGCTGGTACGCTCTTTTCTTGAAGGACCCATTAATCTATCGTATGGACATAACTAATAATGGCGTCTCCCTTATTACTGTGGTATTAGAAAAAAATATGTATTGTGTGACGAGTTGCCGATTCGATTGATGATTGTTATTATTAAAAAACAATAAATTCTCACTGTGCTCTAAAGCAGAATTTCCGCGACTGAAACCGGATGGAATTGATTAGGTTTCCAGCAAGAGCTGCTTCGAGGATATTGGGAGTTCCGCTATCGCCTAATCACATCGATTTCATGTTTACCAATAATTTATCCATGTAACCTGCAATTGGTTTATTCATTACGGGAACAGGCTTACATTTTCATATAATATAAAGCTTTCTCTACATAATGAACCTAACCTGATCTTACTTAATAGGTAGGTATATCTTGTATTATAAAATGCCTGCTAATGCGATATATTGTACACATTTTATGAAGTTGTTTTCCGTGTACGCCAAGTACAATCAAACATATTAATACCTACTTTTATTTATTTGTATACTTACAAATACAAATAAATGATAACCACGAACCTTGCAATCTTTTCCTAACTCCAAAATTAGTTGCTATTTATAATATCTGCAATCTCCATATATGCACAACGCATTTTTTAAAAACGCTGCCTTGCAAGTTTTATTATACCAGCTCACAACCACATCACAGAATCATAATCAAGAAAACTTCATATTTTACAATTAAGTAATCGCAGCAATGAATCCTGCTCCGGGCGATATAATTCACAAACAAAATAGGCTCACATATTCGCAGAAACGACCTAAAAAGATAACTCTCAAGACAAAACGGCCGCCATGCCACTCTGAAAGGCGGAGCTAATCATATTACTGCACGTAGCACAAGCATCCTCGCTTAGCATAACAACTTAAGTAAAAATGTGCTTTATCCCAACTAACCAAGTCGTCATTTTAAGTACCGTACCGTGGCGGTTAGTTTCTTTTAACATGCACATAGGGTACAAAAGTGGCCAATCAGCGCGCGGTCGCCATACCTTCGTAATTTCACATTTACTTCATAGATGGCGTTGGCTGAACATATTATTATATTATACTTTCACTGATAATCATAAGTAAAGAATACTTTTGATTTTTTTATAAAAACTATATTATTTATTTTCTTAAAAATATTAATTTAACCTAGATTATATTATAGATCAAGTCATCTCTCACTTAGAGTTCTAAATCTTTTAGTATAATATAAAATTCGGTATGGAAATATAGATATTTTTACGTAATTTTTATACTACCTATTGCTCCCAAGAACAAGAACATTGGTAAAAGTGAAAACAATACGATATCATAAGAAATGATAAACTTTGTACGTCTAAAACGTAAATAAGTACCTACCTAATGCAATAAAACGGGTTTTAGACAAAATTAGTATAAAAGAGGACAGAGACGTATCAATATACATATATCGATATATTATGCCTACTCAGTATTGTGTAGTAGGTAAGTACACACTGTAAAGTGTTCGTCTAACTGGATGAGTGTTTTAGAAAGAGCAGATCGTTAGGAGCGATTTTAATTAATAGCGGATACGTTTCATACTCCACATAGAGATTGTGTTGCACAATAATTCATTTATTGCAACGTCTCTCCCGTATCGGGGAAACCTAATCTCTCCGAAGCTATTATTCCCAATTCGGTGCTCCGTGCTGCCATGTTAAGCTTCATAACTCCCGACATACGAGCCATTTTTCAATGTTTTCAGTGAATTTTCCTCTTCATTCAAATTAAGTGGTAATACACTCTATGCGGTTAGCTTAAAGTTTATTTTCTGGCGGGGGGTTTCTTCGAATGGGGTGAGGAGTCGCAAGGAGCGAGGGCCTCCGCGGAAAGGCGCGGGGCCCGGGAGGAGGTTGTATTTTCCCCGCAGTTTCCGAGGGAAAGCGACACTTGAGGCTGTTGTGTGAAGCCGGCAAACGGAAAAATTATTAATAATAATCACAGCTCTAGTGGTTAGTAATTATAACGTATGTATATTACGAATACAGCGACAATGTTGCCCATCAACACGGATTTTTCGGTATTTAGTTTAATACATTGAAAGCCTTCACTAATCGTTCTTTGTATCTTGTGCTACTAAAAAACTTCCTTACAACGAATAATAAAATCAGTCGTTGACCAGCCATATATTATGCCTTCGATATGCGCCACGTTTTGTAAATTAAAAATCAGTTATTTAATAAAAAGTTGTCTAATTCGCTTAACAATCGATAAAGAGGGGACCCTCGTCAATTAATCCTTATTAATTACTACCGCTGACGGAGCTCCTCACATAATTAACGTCAATAGAGACGTCAATCTGACAACAATAGAAAGAAATCGCATAGAAATTGCTTCCGCGAAATCTTTTGCCGATTTAAAGTATCGTATTGCTACCACCGGGTGTCGAATTCGGATCAACAGACCCTTGAGAGAAGGTTGACCACGCAGTCCATGGTTTTCGAGCCTATCGAAGAGAGATTTTTATTCTTGGATTCATTGTGGCTATCTTTAAACTTACACCAATTTGCGGACTCAAATATAGCGGAATGATAAGAAAACCAGTGGCGCTGCCACCTTCCTTGCTTTGTATTTGTGTATTCTTGATAAATGTTTCTTAAAAGGCACACCATCTTTCTATATCGCAAAACGAGCCGTCGGTTTATGCGAATTATAAACTATTATTTTCATTTCGAAGATTCACTTATTGGGTCGCAAAGCCAGCGGTGTATAAAATATTGTAAACAATACTTAATAAAATTATCTTGGGCCTTATCGCAAACGAGCGCATACGTTAAAAACAAGCAAACTAGTCTATATAAAATCGTAAGAAAGCAATGGGCACCCTACTCAAGGTAGATCTGTGGGCCGTACGTTTACGCAACACAAAACACAGTGTCGCATTACAAGCGACGCCAATTGAGGACATAATCCTAATGCGATTATTATATCGCAGCCAAAAAAACCACGCACCAGAGTCACTCACTGCTAATATTTAGCGGTTAATAAGTAATAAGTTCTGGGAAGTAAAATCAAAAGGTCAAATAGGACTGCTTTCTAACAGTCGTTAACCAAGGCGTTATTTAGTTTATTATTAATAAATAATTCGGTTGCTTCATTTTTCTATTGTGAAATTAACTTAAACCCTGCTAAATAATACCAATGAACAAAAGTCGCGAAGAAATGAATTTGTCCTAAAATGAACATTTTCAGGGATATATTTCAATTCAACATGGGTAGTACTAGTTCAGCTCTGTATTTCAGCGTAAGAAATATCTACCTAATAAACATAGACATCAATTATTATTATTAATCAATTTTCTTTCATTATTTTAATAGTCATGCTTCTGGCGCTGCATGCCCTCGAGTGGACGCCGAAGTTAGCTTCTGCCAAGCTTAGGTTTTCAGGTCTTGTGTAAATTTATGCTGATTGAACAGACCAAAGATATTTCATTTAAAATCAAACGATAGCGCACATGTACTTTCATATATTGTTTAGTGAGGTTAAATAAGGGTAAAAATGATAATTAAGGCATACCTACCAAGGAATAAAAAATTCTGTGAAGCTACAACCTCTTTAGGTCTGGACCTCAGATTTCTGAATCTGTTTCATGATCATTTTTAAATTTAATAGGCAAGTAGGTGATCAGCCTCCAGTGCCTGACATACGCCTTCGACTTTTTGGGTCTAAGGCAATCCGGTTGGTTTCCTCACGGTGTTTTCCTACACCGTTCAAGCGAACATTCGCTTGAACGGTGATCGCGGAAATGATCATATAGACAGAAAGTCCATTGGTGCACAGCCGGGGATCGAACCTACGACCTCAGGGATGAGAGTCGCACGCTGAAGCCACTAGGCCAACACTGCTCTTAATCTATACATATAACCTACCAAGGAGTACAGTTTCCAAAAACTGATTAAATTACTCTTTTCAATGAGTAGTGCTACAAAAGTATTAGTTTTAAGAGTAAATTAATGATATTAGGAAAGTGAATATTCACTTTTCATAACAATTTAAATAACTGCTTACTACACTGGAGCTACGAAACAACAGTCATTGTTCGTAGAAGATCTAGCACTCACCTGTATCCTGTCCTCGGGCAGGTCTGTCTTGAGGGAGAGCATCTCTCGCGCGTATACGTCGGGGTAGTGGGCGTCTTTGAACGCCTTCTCCAGCTCATCCAGCTGGTACGAGGTGAAAATGGTCCGGCTACAATATAAGTTTCTGGTAAGCGAAAGCGCTTTTCTCTTCTGCGTTTTAGTTCTCAGAAAATTATAAAGTTAGGTTGGTACTAATATGACATTGACTATGTAAAACTTCATCGTAAATAACATACTTTATTAATTAGATATTTCAGCAGATATACCAAGCAGAATTGAACGTCTAAGAATGAAGTTTTTATCCGTTAGAGGGATACTAACTGACATACATATAGAAAATAAACACATTTGTTAGTAAATACAAAACTTAAGTAAATTAAATTAGTATTTAAGTTCGGTATATATTTATTTATATGCAATTGTTTAAGCGCAAAAGTTAAAAGTTAGGTACCTACTCGTAACGTAATTTTTTTGTTAACAACTTGTAAAAACCGAATACTTTTTTACTCATAGGTATTTCCAACATAAAAATCCAGGAAAGATAAATTTAATTGACTGTGGTCTAATAAACTTCACATTGATCAATGGAAGAGATTTACAAAGCTGTGTATGCATAATTAAATTATTAGAGCATTTCTTAGTTACCTATGTCTCCTTTTTTTCTTTTTCTTCTTCCCGTTGTAGCCGGTCAAACCGTCGACTGTGAAGTCTTTCGCTGCTTCTAAAGACGACACACCTAAACAATAAGAGATTTATAAATAAGCCATTATGTTCAACCTACTATTTAAACGCTTTACAGTGACTATGAAAAATCTCGTGGCTGTAAAAGCTAACAAAAATATTGCTTTCTTCCGGTAGTCAAAGCGTTATAAAAATGTTAGTGACTGAACTTTCAATCAACCGCGATGTTATCGAACCCCAATTTTCGGCTCAACTTACGAGATCCCAAAAGACAAGTTACGCGCTAACTTGTCACATAATTACCGAATGTGATTGCCAAATGAATTAGTAAACAGCCGAGCGCCGGTAATAGAATTGCTTCCCCTGGGCCCGACCGGGTATACCCGGGGGAACACACGTAATTGAATTTGCACCAATGAATACTACAATGAATTATTAAATTTACTACACCGAGCGTTATCGTGTTGTCGATTATACACTGCCCGTTACCAACACGCGAGATGAGAACGCGGGCTGGAGCCGGCAATGTATTGCGTAGGGACAGCGCGGGTGACGTATTTGGTGCGTGTGACGAATTGCAATGGTTTATTTGTAAAGGGTAACATCGTAACATGTTGTGAGGTCAAGCCACGTGCTAGGGATAGTGCGATGTTAATTCGTTCTGTTTATTTTAAATTGCACTTACACGATTTAACTTGACAAATATAAATCATAATTTACGGCAATAACTGTTGTACTAATCAAAACAAAAAGTTAAAGGTTACTTGTTTGATATTTTATCAGAGAATTCATGATCTGGCAAACTATTGATATATCGGCATCATGATCCACATTATCGAAGAAGTCGCGTAAAACCCCAAGAGGCTTTACCTCTAGCAGACTGATAACTGTGTCTGTCTCATCATTACTTTTTTACTGTGCATAGTGCTTAAGTAAATAGACAAGTCAGTACTTACCTATTTAATTATGAATGTTCAATAATCGTCGTTATTCCGAAAAGCGAAACCAGAGGCATAATAAATCCGGTTCACTAAAGAAAATAATGTTGAATCTTCTGAATACAAAAAAACCTACTTTAAGGACCGCGAACCTCATACTTTAAATTGTTGGTCCGGCTTCATAATAACAGGATAATTGACCACTTCAGGTAGATGGAGGATTAATATTTTTAACCAATAATTGAATAGTTGGTTAAAAATAATATGTTTTTTTACTTTACTCGTCAACTAGGTAAATGTTCATATTATTTAAAATTCGTACTCTACAGTAGACGTCCGGTATCCTGTAAGAGACCGGGTATGACGTCACAGCGGAGCGGCGGCTCCTGGCGAGAAGCCAGCTCCATATCGGAAATCAATAGCAACAAACCGAAGACATAACGAGCTAAACAGAACGGATCATAAGTCGGTTACCGTAAGATCATTACGCAAGCCTCTACTCAATGTATGCGTCACCACGCACGCGAACCGCACCCCACTCTCGGCCTTACGCCGCGGCGATAGAGGCTAGAAGGGCACGGCAGGGAGGGAAGGGAGGGCTCGGCCACTCGGCTCGAGAGCGCCTGCCACTTTACATTGTTGCACATAATAACAAACAACCGACCTTTTATTCGAGCCGCGTAATTATTTGGTAATTGCTCCTTCTTGATAATCGACGGATTTATTTTTTATTTTCGCCAGTTTTTGGTGGCGGTCACACCCCTTTGCCAATGTGAAGCAGGTGCCTCTAGCCTGGTTCACTATACTTCATATTGCTATAATCGTGAGCAAAACAAGAATTGAAACAATATAAGCATACCATTAGCAAAAAAAAATGCTATTTATTTAATCGACTCTTAAAAGGTTGTAAGTTAATTGATGTCGAACTTAGTAGGCACCATTGGATACAAGATGGACGCACAAATCATTGAATAATCCTAATTTAGATATACCTTATGAAGCAAAGTGACAGCAGACAGCGATATCAGCAAATTTGATAAAAGTATCTCAAAGCTGGAGTGTGTCATATTGGGCCAATCGTCGGCAATCGTCGCCAATTCTCGGCAATCTTCGGTGATGTTATTAGATTTATTTGTGAAGCGAGACGTTGTTACCTGAACTCCACCGTTTACGGCAGATCACATCCGACGATTTGTGATGTATCTTACATTTCTGTGTAACGATTTTCTTTTACTTCGTTTTATTATTTATGTTTTAGTAAAAAAATATACGGCACTATGTATAAACGTATATATTATATATTCACATTGTTTCTAGTCAACCGACGGTTTAGGTTAAGTAAAAATATTGTTATTATTTAGAGGAAAATTAAATAAGATCTAAAATAGTTGGCAGTTTAGTATTTTTTAAGATGCACAAAGAGATGAGAGATGAGACCTAATTGATTTGAGGTGCGAAATCGGTACTCGTGTATTGAATGCTAGACACCTCAGCGTAATGACAGCGAAGACACTCGACTCGGCGAACGATTGAAAGGAGCCGTGAAAGGAAAGGGGATAATTTCGGGGTTTTAAAGTATTTCGAGTGCATTGAAGTTAATGAACGAGTGTTTTAAGTATTCGTTAATGACTAAATAAGTATTCGGGAAGACCGCGCCGCCTCGTTCAGATCTTTTGCTCGTGTCATCTGCTCTCGATGAGACGAATCCCCTAATTAGTTTGATTCCAAAATTAAAGAAAAGCGGATAAACGCTGCTTGTCTTGTTAATATTTATTTATGTCAATCAATGTTTAAGTCAAATCTGTGAACTCTGGCACTTTTAATTTATGTAACAACAATCACAGAACCGAACTACTCTCTCCTTCGTCTCTTAAAATCCTGGGTCATTTTCATAGAAAGAGAGATGAATATTTTGTGAAGTTAACGGTAAATGTTTCCGAAATAAAACTTAATTAATTGGTCGAGAAAAGCGCTTGTCTATTTCGGCGAATCTCTGAGACATAAAAAATGACATTAAATTTCAATTCGTCGCGTGAAGAGCGCATACAATTAGCGGCGCGAGAGGAAGAAATTGCCAATTTCCACGCAGCGAGCCAATTTGGCGCCCACACCGACAATATTTGATTTGCCACAACACCAAATACGAAATGCTTTACACAACTTAGCTAAGGAGAGTTATGTTTAAATGTATAAAACTGTAATACAAATATTTCTTAACGGAAATTATAAACACATGTTATTACCTAAATAATTAGGTCTTCAGCTTTCCAAATCATAGGTACGACAGCAACTAAAAGTCTATAAAATTAGTGCATCCCTCTAAAACTATTGGAATAATAAAAAAGCAAGTTACCTGAGTAAAGTTGTCGGACGGCTACATACATGAAACAAATCAAAATAACACAATTAAAGCAAGCATTTTAACAAATATGCAATACGAGATGCTGGTGAATTTTATTTCTTTTCATTAAATTGTAGATAAGAAAAATTTAAAAACACAAAACTACACATAGTTAAACACATACATGCATACATATAACGCAACGGAGTCGATCTCGGGTGAAGGTCTCACAAGTCCCCGGTAAAGGCAAAGACGGAGCGGGCCCGAGGCGAAATTTCACAAAATCAAAGTACTCAAGTAAATAGAAGCGTACTCCGCGATATGAAAACCTTTTGAGACGTATCGTGTTTCGTTCACACGCCGGGCGTTAAGAAAATGGAGCAAAAACACTTGTATGGCCCCCGGTTTTGTCTGATATTGTGATCTGCGCCTTTTGTGCCCTCGCCTCGCTTCGACTCGGACAGAGCTTACAAATTACCCCGAATTTACAACCCGCTATGAATTCACTCATTACGTTTATAATATCGGAGGACGCGATTGTATGCGAATAACTCGAATTATAAATAATATTTGTCGACAAATGTTTTTGAGCACATCATTGCAATCTTCCACTCAAATAGAATTTAAAATATAACAATGAAAAGAATGAAAATAACTTTAAGTATATTCTTTTTTATCAGTATAACACAGTATTTGTTGGAATAAAAACTAATTATAATAAATGTACACTGCCACAAGAACTTTTTAAATTTATTTTAGTTTTCTATTTATATATTTATTATTACTTATTATGTAGGTTAAGATTCTGGATACTCTAATTAGCATTAAAGTAAGTTTATATTGATTAAATGATTTCCCATTAAATTCAATTCATTACGAAATAATCTAATTGAATTGTTACACGCAATATGATAGTTTGTGATCGTCCCTAAATAAATAGTTTATAGGTATACCTATTCAAAGCCAATACTGGGCAGTATGTGAAAAACCAAGAGACTTAGCCGGGATTTTGTGTGACTATGTTTTTATATTATAATCCTCTAAATTGTGATGGGACTTCGTGAGTAACTTTAGTTTTAATCGAACTGCTTGTGGATACCTCGCATTGGATTTTGTTGAAAAACCTTGTATATTTGCCGATTCCTTTTTCGAGTATTATAATCATGTTAAACACCTTTTTTCCAAAAAACTATAAAGAACAGAAAAGATTTGCCAATTTCACATGATTAAAATCAAGTGTTTTAGTTGAGTTCTTGATATTTCCCAAAGAACGCAGTTTTATAAAAAAGCAATATATTTTGATTAAACACAAATTTACTAAATGGTATTATATTTCTGGTTATGAAGAATTTTTTGTAGACTTGTATTTTAGGCTACAATAGATGTATTGATAATATATAATAATGCTAGTTAATTTTATTGAATGTAGTTAACAAGGCATAATTAAGTGAATGTATTATGTAATACAGTAATATGTTCCACATATGTGAATATATTTAATTGCCTAACAATTGGTAACTAAACAATGTTTCCCAGTAAAGTAAAGGGACTTAAATAATTAAATGCCAATGAAGTTTCACTAATGAGTTAACTACGCAATGTATTAACAAAATTGTCAATTAATTAAACTTAATAGTTTTATGAAGAAACGAACAATGACTCAATTAATTTGTCAACATTGCAGTCATGTAATGTAATTACTTCTATTGTCTGACAACATGTGTTTCTGTCAGTCGGTTCATGTTAAATAAACTTTAATAAGTACATAATTTTATTAATATTATTTCGTTTTTCGGTTAGCTAAAGTCAGACCATTTCAGAAATAAATAGTCATGTCATCAAATAGCCCCCTGAACTCGTGATATGGCCGAACCTCATCACTAAGTGTATCCTCTATGGGCCTCTTGGGACCTCGGCGCGGACGGCTAAAAACCCTTACAGTTGCAGAATATTTGAAAACTAATTTTCTAAAGTAGGTGCATATTATCCGGTAAATTAATTGCAAGCAAATATGATTTAGAGTTCACTAATCTGGCTGTCTATATTTCTGGGTTGAAATGGGCGAAGAATGAAACTTCCTCCTCCCCCCCCTGCCTCCCCCTACCCAAGAAAGCTATAATGTTATTACCAGGCCATTATATTTTCACAGCCGACTGCGTGCGCTCCGCTTCCCTCCCTTGTTTATTGTACACTTTTCTAAATTAGATTTTGTTACAATTTGTTTTTTTCGTGCAAAATTTTTAAATGCTTGTTAGCTTTTTATAAAAAATATAAGCTTTGAAGCATCGATTATTTCCACTTCTTTCACTGGCGAAAACAAAGCGTCAAAAATATACAGAGAAATTATATCGGCATAAGCGATTTTATTTCGTTATCGTTACTGTATTCTTCTAGTAGGGTGGGTATAGGTCCCTATCAATGAATATCACACATATTATGCTTGTTCTTATAATATGGAAATCTATATTTACGATGCATTGAATAATAGAATAATACATGTCAATAAAGTCCAAAGTTAACGATATGCAGAATTACATTCATTCAAGCGGCTAAAAATACTTTTAATTCCACTGACAGCTTTAAGAACTTTGAAGTTGATAACTTCTAATTGGCCATACTATTTTAGCGCCACTAGATGTATCTGTATGTGTGTGTAAATTATACATAAAACATACATACTTTATTTGAGAATCACTGCATTTCTTTAAACTAATAAAGTTTTCAATAATGAAATGTACAAAACAGATCGGTTCAGTCTGTGACTTAAGTATTCCTATGTATATATTATACATATATACTTCAGACTCACATACATACATGAATGACTAATAAATTTAACTAAGATGTAGTGTGTTTAAAAGCTGTAAGTAATCAGTTGTTATAATGTAATCGCGTGGTGTTACAGCAGGCGGCGGCAACTAATTAGGGCGGCGCGGGCGATCGCAAAGAGCTTTGTGCTGGCGCGCCGCCCGCCCAGCTCACGAGTGCCAATTAAAATTCTACATTGAACCTTCGCCCACGCTGCCCTCTCCAATAATCCATATTTATGTTTCGATTGTGCTGTGT